AAGTCATTAATACACACACCTCTGTGGTCTCTTTGTTCTCTGGCTTTCTGGCTTTGTATCCGGGATCTTAGCGAGGAGCCTGAGCCCTAAATTGACCAGTGACGTCACAGAGTAACACTCGTCTCAGTCTACGCGCTCTTGATCTTGGTACGGAGCAAGATAGCATCTTTTCTTGTTATGTTTTAATTGAGAATAAGTACCAGGCACTGATCGGCTGCCTCTACAAAGACGCTTGTTCCCCGACCAATTGCAACATTTAACTTGATAAACTTTTTAGCTACAGCGTTCCGATGAGTTAGCTTACATGACGTACTTATATTTGCCCTTACTTTCGTCCACAGTACTACACGGACAAGGATCACGGGATAGTTGGAAAACACACTCGGCGCCATCTTTACCGCCTGATGACCAACTTTCTTACCAGGAGCCTGGGTCTGACTCGTTCCTAGTCTCCACTTGATAGTTCCTTTTCTTTCTTTCCTTAGTAATTCATGAGGCAACCAAGTTCTATTTTTGCCCAAGAATGGACTGTTTCCTATCTGAAAATCGTGCCATAACCCATGGAGGTTGCAATCTCAATTTTTATCTGAATTTTCAATGAAAAGTCTTAGAACAACCACTTGTACATCAGGAATATATTAGAAAAGTTTAGAATAAGCACTTGTACATCAGGAATATAATAGGAGAAAGTACATGGCCTCACCCATCCCTTATTTCCTTAGAGGAGAACGCTCTTGCAGGATGGTGGCGTTCGGTTTTCTTTTTGAGACAAGAGTTGAACAGGTTGTTTCGAGTGCAAACCACAAAAATCCCCACCAATCAGTTTTCTTTTTTTTGTACAAAATCACTGTTTTAATTTTAATTAATAAAAAGTGCTGAGTTATATAATGTATGGATGCTTTTATATTATTCTCTCTCATTGTTTGATGTCCAATATTTTACTTTTCACTGTTTGTGGCATCTGATTTCTTAGCGACTCCTCTCTACAGTTAGTACAGGAACATCTGGAAGGAGTTTTATTTAAACCAGCTTCGTCAGTCACGGTATTTTGAGTTATTTTGGCCACGCACAAAATTACCTTTATATTGACGGAAACCTGATAATAATAGTTTACTAAGAGAGAAAAACACCAAAGGGATAATTTTAAACCATAAAGGAACAAGGATGGTTAAGGATGGAGAAGATTAACACGGATTAGAAACGACGAACTTGAAAAATCTACGCTA